TAACTTCGGGGGAAATGGACGCCATACAAGAAAAACTATTGAGCCTTTTTGAGAGTTGGGAATATTTGAAAACAAAGTTGAGGTATTAAAAAAAAGCATTAACCAAACCCACGAAAAACTTTCTACTCTTTTAAGTTCTAACATTTTAAAACCTTTTTGTTAAACCCTAAAATAATAATATCATTCCTTTTAAAAACCTACGCAAAAGCCGTGAGTATTCTCGTTTATATATGCGTAAACTCCGAGCAAAAAAAAAAGGTTTAACAAGTAAAACCCCAGAGTTAAACCCTGTTAAACCCGCAAATGTTAAACCGCAAGTTAAACCTGAATCATGCCCTCATTGCCGCACCTTGGCCGAAGTCCAACAAGCCTACGAAAATTTACAACAACAAATCGAAGCGGCCAAAGAAAAACGACGGGAACAATGACGCCAGGCAAAAAAAAAGCAACATGAAAAGAAAAAAGTCGCCAATCAAGCCGGCAAAAAAGCATAATGACAGACAATTTTATTTACGAGTTAAAAGAGCGACTAAAAAGCGGGGATATTAAGATTGGCAAAATTAAAGGAACTAGCCGCTTGCTGATTGTTAGTGTTTCCACCGAAGAATGAGTGGATATTGATTTAAACGACCTTGTCGAAGTGGAAATTACTAACGTTAAGCGATTATGAGAAATGAGCGAAGTGGAGTATGATGAGTTTTAAAAAAGTAAAAAACAATGTTTACCTAATGCCTCGTATTCTGAAAGATAATGGTTATAAGTTTTATATTTACCTCAACGAAAGCCCTTTCGAACCCGCTCACGTTCATGTTCTTATTTCAGATATGACTGGGGAAATGAAAGTTTGATTAAACGAAAATTTGGATATCGAAGAATGTTTTAACATTCCCCGTCATAAATGAGGTGAAATCTTAAAAATCATTACAAAGCAAAAAAAGTTATTACAAGATAAATATTATGAACTCAATCCCGCAACCCCAAGAAAGTAAAAAAATGTCATTTCCCGACTTTCAGCTGCTTGAAAGCGAAAAATTACAACCCACTATTTTAGAAGTTGAATGTAGTAAAGAAATTATTACCGCTCATTTAAGCGATAGCCGCTCCATTACTATTCCTACTGGTTGATACGCAGTTTTACGAGAGGCTACCCCCGAGCAATTAAAAAATGTGCGAGTTTTACCGGCTAAACGAGGTATTTATTGACCTGATTTGGAGGAGTTTTTAAGCATTAAGGCTTTTACTTGCGGCTTAAAGGCAGGTTGTTAACTTTTAGGTGTTTTATGGGTTGGAGAAATTTCTCCCTTTGCTCAAATCTATAAATATAGCCATATATACGCCTATATTTTTATCGATACTAGTTAATTAAAAAAATTAGTTTACGAACAGGATTGTTATGTGGTGGAAATTTTGGAAAAAGCAGTGGAGGGTTATGAGCAGGAGAAATAAAATAATAATTAAATAATATTAGGTAATTAAAGTTATGAAGTCAGCAAAAATTTTACTTGGGATACTGCTCTTTGCAAATGTGGGTCTAGTTTCTGCTCCGGGTGGCGAGTGTGAGAGGTTGCTATCAACTATCATAGGGATTTGTAATATTATGTTTTGAAATCCTCCTGCACTTGCTGCTTGTGTGACTGGTGCTTTGACTACTTATGCTGCTTGTTTAGCGGCGAATCGTTAAAAAAAGCCTACCAAAACTTACACCACACCCCAGCCCAAGCCCAAGAACAAAAACGGGAATACTGACGCCAACAAAAAAGGAAGCAACATGAAAAGCAAAAAACCCAAAAAAAGTAATCAAACCCCCAACTCTTATTTTTTAAAAAAAATAATAAACTTCCCCTATTGCGTATTTTTTGGCACCAAAAAGACCCCTTATAAAATATTTTTACCTAACTAGCGAAATAAAAATATTTTATATAAAGACATGCCCCGAAAAAAACGCAGTAAATACCACGATGAAAATAATCAATTCCGCAGTTATTATTGCCTCCAATGCACCCAAGTTAAGCCCTGCGGACTGCTAACAAAGGACGA